TCTTACTGTTGCTTACAACAGGTTAGCTGGCCCTCAGACTTCTTCTCCACCTCCTATCTACCTAGTAGGAGAGCTGGGATTGCAGACACTTGTGCCATGAGTCCCATTTTTATACAGGCACTTGGGATTCGAACTCAGATTCTCACTCTTGCTTGTACAAACTAACCACTTCCATAGACCTGTATTTTCTGTATGATTTCCCAGTCTGATAAAGAAAAAAAAAAAGGAACGAAACCATGACAGAGTATGCTTACTTAACACAGAAGACTGGTTTTGGGAACTTCTTACCATACCACCTATGATATTCTACATCAGCCACACCCACCAAAATAAAACTTTAAAAACATTCATGGCGACAAACTGTACCAAAGAGAGATTATATCAAAGCATTCATTTGCCAAAACAGCCTCAGTAACTTTGGTTTCAGTAGTCCGGGCTCTTCAACCTGGTCATTAGATTTAATTTTATACATCCGTTGGAAAGGCCTGACCAAAACTTACATAATTTTGTTGTCAAATAAGATTGTTCCTTATTATGGATGAACAAAACAAACTTATTGTGGCAATGAGAACATCACTTTTTAAAATTTAACTATACTACACGCCCCGGTGTGGTGCTTATCAAAGTTTCATGCACATGCACATCTCCTGGCAATCTTCTCAAATACAGATTCTGATTCCACAGGACGAGGTGAGGCCTGAGCCTCCCCTGCCTGACACGTTCTTGGATGATGTTAATGCTGCTGGGCACCCAGGACACTACAAATCTAAGAGCGAGCACTGAGAGAAAGAACAGCAGGGCAGGTGTCCCCAGGGTGAGCTGCATCACAAGCTGGGGCAGGGTCTCACCTCAGACCTTCCTATGCAATCGGTTTAGGCTAGGAAACAAGAATTTGAATTTCTAGATATTCCAAGGTGATGCTTGCTGGTGCTGGTCTCCAACATGAAGAGTGAGAGCCCTGGCAGGCCCAGAACACAGTATTCCCCTGCTGGGGGTCATCTACCCCTGGTGGAATGTACTCACAGCCCTATCTTGTAAAAGGCACTTTGAACTATGTAACAATTATCTTCTATGCAATTCTGAATTCTCTGCACATTTTAGGAGTAGCAAAGTCAGATAAAGAAATCCTTTCATGAGGAGCTGGAAAGATGGCTCAGTGGTTAAGAGCACTGGCTGCTCTAGAGGACAGGGGTTTGGTTCCCAGCACCCACATGGCAATTAACAATGGTCTATAACTCCGGTTCCGGGGGATCTCTGGCACTCTACTGGCCTCTGAAGGCTGGAGCTGAGCAGGTGATGCACTTGTATGCATAGAGGCAGACAAAATACTGGTACACAATTGATGGCCTCTGGGGGTGGGAAAGTCATGTTTGTTTAAGGGTGTGGTTCCTGATAGGTGGACCATATTCCAGGGGATGGTCCCACACCCGGAAGTATATGAACAGCACAAATTAGACTCAGCGAGTTATTAAATAAAAAAAGGAAGACGAAGTTGACAGGGGAGGTAGGGGTGGGTCTGGGGGAGTTAAGGGGAGAGGTTGGGGTGAATATGATCAGGATACATTGTATGAACTTCTCAAGGAGTTAATAAAAATATTTATTTTTTTAAAGTTCCTAAATAAGGGCAAATAAAATTCCAGAGTTGCAGATGTCACAGTTGCACAGCAGCAACTAAAACAAACATCGGAATCCTGTATCTTCTCAGGCCATGTGTAGACAGAGGGAGGCCATGGTTCCTTTGCCTTCTTTTCTCTCTAGAGTTAGGGAGTAAATAGGCTCTGACACCATAAATCGTCTTATCAAAGGGTGTCTTACTCCCATCAATCAATAGCTCAAGTAATGCAGGTTTTAAATAATTTATCTTCACACAGTAGATATGATAAATACACTTTACACATTTGTTTTCTTACTGCTACTCTTTACTTACAATTTGTATGTAATGTCTGAAAATGGTTATTATTGTTGGTTACAAGGATTTGAGGTAATATAGCACAGTTTTTATCTTCTAGGCAAATAACATCGATTCCAAGATTTTTTTTTAATATATGCTCAGTAACTGTATTGGGCCCTGAAAACTGTGCAGGTCTGTCCTTCCTCAGAACGCCTTCTTCGGCTATTTCCCTGGCTCCTGCCTAAGGAGAAAGGCAGAGGCAGATCTGATCAAGTACAGTTCTCCTTCAGATTTAGCAGAGAAGAAGGTAAAAGGCTGAACCAAAGCCACAATGTACACAGTTCCATTTCTTTAGTTTCATTTAGGATTTTCAAGTACTACAGGTATCACTTTTATAACAGACATGCTATAAAAGGGAAAATTAAAATCCTCAACTCTAAAACATCTATTTTGATAATTTTCAAAAAAGCACAGCAAATGCATTGTCTATAAGTAAACATATTGAAGTTTTATGAAATACTTTTTAAAAACTCAAAATAATTAAAATTCAGCAAGGTTCAGAAGTGTTTAATGAAGCTCCCAGAAACTGCATGTGGTGGTTTGAATGAGAATGTCCCTGATAGGCTCCAAGTATTTGGACATTTTGCCCCCAGTTGGTGGCATTGTTTTGGGAGATTTTAGGGGGTGTGGCCTTGCTGGGGGTGTAGGCTTTGGGAGTTCTTAAACCTTGCAGGATTGATTCCCCATGGCTCTAGGCTTCCTTGAAGATGTGATCACTTGACTTTCTGCTCTGGCCACCTCTGCAGCCACGCCTCCCTGCCGTTATGAACTCTAATCTCTCTGGAATCGGAAAGCAAATAAGTTCTTCTTTCTATAAATGACCTTGGTCTTTCTTGGTGTTTTCTCACAATAGGAAGGTGAGTAATACACTGCATTATTCTTTTCTCCTTATGTTCCCAGGGAATTCTTTCACATAAAATATTTGAAGTCTGAATCAAGATGAGAAACATTGGATTGTGCAGTCCCTTGGCACACATTCAAATATAGAAAGCACATTGCAACGATTAATTTATTAATCAACAATTAGCTGGTAACTTGTATGAAATACAGTACTTTATTAACAAACTAAATTTGCAAGCAGTCTGGTGGGTTTCACAAATCATACACTTAACATTTAATTTGGGTACAAAGAAAGAATTACTTAGAATTGGTTAAAGAAATCAAACAATAATCACAGTTCCCCTGTGAGATAAATTTTAGTAATATCTTGAAAATATTTTAAATAGCTAAAACTGCTTAATACAAATTCCTTTCCCACACTTTCTGCCAATACACTAAAGTGCCTTTTCTTGCCGACCTGTGGACACTCATTGTACACTTTTGTTCACATAAATTTTCTTTTCCATATTTCAGTGAATACAAGAGCAATGTGAAGATATACAACATACGTCAGTTAATGTTCAGCTAATTATTTTTTATTGCTCAGAGAACATTCTGTCTCTACATTCAAAAATATAACTATGACATTTGATGTATTTCCAAATTGGTTCTATTATATCCTGAAATTTCAAAATTCATAGTGCCAGACTAGTATGTACCTCAAGCAATAGAAATCACATCACCAGCCAAAGTTATCTTACAGTGACTGTATGACTAGGCCAAAGTTATCTTACAGTGACTGTAAAAGTCATACACTGTGGGACACGTATAAAATCAAACCTTACTTCTTAGTTGCATCTCTTTTTGTTTCAGTCTCCAGTCTCCCATCAACAGGCACATGTCCTTAGAGAATGTTAAAGCTAGTGCCTAAACTAAAAAAAAGCAGGGGTTTGTTTTTAAACAAATATCAGGTAGTGGACTTAAAAAAACAGCTTTGTCTGAATGAGAAATTTCCATGTGATATACATTGTTACTGTTTGTGGATCTGCAGAACTGGCCACGAACGACTAATACAATATCATTTAAATATAAAGTTTCTTTATAGATTAATAAAATAACAGTCTATTAAAATATTATGCCTTCAACTATTATTTCTTTCCTTGTGTTCATGTATTCATAAATTCATAATTCAGAATATGTTTGGTACATGTCAATGGATTTAATATTTTTAACAAATATCTATCTGGCATTTTTTCCTGATATTCCATTTTTTTAAGTACTCATCAACATAGACTGAGTTTTAAGTTCCAATATGGATGTTAACTCAATGCTGGTGTATTTTAAGCTAAGTAAGGCCTGTGTATCAGAGTTGCTGCGTGATGCTGTCAAAGCTGATGGACAAAGGCATGAACACACTGGCTGAAAGCCACAGCAATGATAGATCTGTGCCAAGCTAAAGGGAAAACACCCAAATAGCACATTGTTGGACAAATAAAATATACTAGTGAGCTTAAGTCAGCCCATGGGTATCAGGGTTGCAATGTTTTCGTGGAATCTTTGGGAAATCTCTTCAGCTCAAGGTATGAGCTGTTCTGATCCAAGTCACTGCAGCAGAAGCCTCAGGATCCCGACCACATGGGCAGAGACCCAAGGACTAAGCTCTGGGGAATCCTGAATGAAGGCGACACTCTGCTCAGGAGTGAAACAATGTGTAGCAAAATCAAGCTTGTCCACCAAATGAAGGCTACACCCCAAAACACTTAAACATCCTCTGAAGCCAGGAGAGAAAAAAGAATATAGTGGCACTAAAGAAACTATTTCTAGAAGCAGAGTTCTCCCCAGGATTTTGAAGAAAATATTTCATTGGTATATACAAAATGCAAATTCACGTTTTAAGGTTTCATGATGCCCAGCTCCCCCACATAGCCTTGCATAGCTTGCAAAAGAGCTTGAGTTTTCAAACACCACAGGAGGTGTAAGAGCACACAGTCTGGTCTTGAAATGACAGGGCATGCATGCACAGAGGAAAAAAAAGAACAATCACATCTAGAGAAAACGTGAGTTCCAGAGACAAGGGAATTTAGGGAACCCCAGTTGTCAAAGCACCCTTATCTATACATGACTCTGCCTTCAATGAGCAAAGTCATTTCTACAGGTTGCTGTCTTTTTTACATTCAATGAGCTCGCTGTATGTCTCTGTAGATGTCACTTGATTAATGGGGACATTTGTTTATTTCTTTGCACACGTCTTTGCTAATGTCCTAAATTTGGGTTCGAGGTGGTCTAGAAACTCCAGGCCTTCCTCCTCCTGCCTGTCACTGCAGCAGCCTACAGAGCCTGCCATGGAGCCTTTGCCTTCGTAGTTATACGAACGAACGTAGTCATCACCATGCTTATGTTCCTCGTCTTGGCCACACAAGTACACCTTCTGTATGGAAAAACAGTACATTTTATTATGTTTTTTAAAAGGCACCTAAACAGACTAGCATAAAAATGATGTCTTTGATTTACCTTTTACTGTTTAATTTTTAATCAGAGTGTGTCCTCTAATGGATTCCTACATATAAAAAATGCACATGATTGGTCTATATTATAATAATTCTTAAAAATATAGCAAATAAATAAATGCTCATAGTGAACACATTTATGAAAATTAAGTCTATGCATACATCACATAAATAATTTACAATTTCCCATTTGAACATAAAGTGTGTAGTTAAAATTTACCTCTGTGACTTCTTTGTATATGTGGGGGAAACCAATGTAGGCTATGATTCTTAGGTTTACGCTGTTACATAGCTGTAACAGTCTAATATAGTAATATTGCATATTTAATAAATATAGTAATATACAGCTATATTAGTGTAATATTTTAAGCTGGCTTATATCATCAGCCTGAATGAAACAGCACAAAGTAATGAAACAGGGCCTAAAATAAAAGCTTACTGATCTGTCTGGCTGATTTCAGTAGGCAAGATTTCATAACTACATAAAGAATTAAAGCACACTGGCAAAATGGTAGCAATTTATGATCTGTTCATTACATTTTTCACTAAAGATTTTTTTCTGCTAATATTTGGTAAAGAAGATATCAGTCTTTAAATCTCCTGAGCACATATGTGTAAAAAAGTCCTCAAGTCTCATAAAATGTATTTTGAAAATTGAACTTTAAAGAGCATTTTTCTCTGGGTTTGGATCTGCCATTTGTGTCTATGCTGGTGCCGAAGATAAAAAGTGTTGTGTTCCAGGTGCAGGAGGAGTAAACTTTTGGGAAATCCTGATTTATGCATCATGTTTGACTTCAGTGGGAACCTGAAGACTTGGGGACTTACTTCGCCAAGCCGAGGTTGAGTGAAACTCTGCCAGTCTGTGTATGCATAGCGGCCAGTCTCTGCTGCTCCCTGCAAGCCTCCTTTGCTGGACTCCAGGGTGTGATGTCCACCTCCCTTGACCATCTCAAAGCTTTGCTGTCCTTTTATCCCTTGGCCACCAAGAGTACCGACAGACATGCTGGTGTCACAGATGTTGGATGCCTGAGTGGGGAGTCTAATGTTTGCCTCCTAAAGATGAAGGAAGAGTTAGAAAATGAATCAATGGAATTGAAACCCACTTTTCACTTTCATTTCTTTGCCACCATAGACAGTCCCACCATGTTCCTCTGTTCCTTACATGTAAAATCGGGCTAATGCTAGAAACCACATTATAGGCATTCTGGGTTAGACTCTGCTTCCTAAGAATACATAGGCTGAGGTCCTACCCCTAGGGCTATTGAAGATGCAATCATGTACATTGCAATGAAGTCACACCAGATTAGGTGAATCTATGATCTAATAGGACCAGTGTTTTTACAAAAAGGAAAACTTGGACACCAAGATGCATGCCAGATAATGCTGTGAAGGTTTGCTTTATAAGCCAAGGAATCAGAAGCAAGGAGAGGGTCCAAGACAATCCTTCACCTAGGCCTGCCAATGTTGTCATCACTATCTCTAGCCTCCAAAACAGTGAGACCATGTGTTCTATGATATGTTACTTGGTTTGTTATGGAGCTCTTTAAAGCCAATGCTAAATGATTGCAAGTGTATAGAGTACTTGAAACAAGTCAATCAGTGCTCCAGGTTATTATTATTATGACTGTGATTGTAGAATAATCAAATTATGATCACCGGATCACCATAGGATTCCATTCAGTGGACGTTAAATCTGATTTACCGTCACTTCTTCTCCAGGTCCTTCAGTGTTTGATATTATTAGGTTTTGCTGGGCTACATCATCTGGGAAGGATTTCTTTACTGTTCTCTTAGCAGTGGTAACACAGAAACATGTAAACAAAATACCTACAAAAGATTTTAAATATTAAAGAAAGTATTTCTTCATTCTGGCATAAATTAAAATAATCCGAATATAAGACTTTTTGAAAATTCTCTGTACAGCTTATACTTACACAGTAACAATGCAGACCCCAGCACCATGGAGAGAATGGCCCATTTTCCAAGTATTACATTTGGTTTAGCGTCCCTCTCCTCTTTAACACTCATTCTACACTCGGATGGAGTTGTACAGTCACACACTCTCACTGACAATACGTGTTTTGCAGCTAAACCATGTTTGTCTCGTATTTGGATGGGCACAGAATAATAGTTATAATTGAGGTTGTGTCGTTGACGAAGAATGGCTCGTTTACCTAGGGGGAAAAGGTGGAGAGGATCTATTATGACCTCCCAATAGCACCAGCATTGTTCCTACTTGAATGCCTGGGGGGATGAATCTGCAATAAAACCTCTAATGGTTCATTTCATTTCTTAAAAATGACTTTGATATCTCAGAATACCAGGCAAAAGAACTGATATTAAGTTCACAGTACACTGATTTATACTTAACATGTTTTTCAACCGATCATTTTAAATTGATTTCGATGTTTTCTCAAAAGATATCCAGAGAAAACATAGATAAGTAGATACATGGTTGATATACAAACAGATGATAGATAGAGATATCGTAGACAGATAAATGATGGATACATAGATTCATAAATGATAGACAAATAATAGATGATTGACAGATGATAGAGAGATGATATAGATAATAGGTAGATGATAGATAGATAGATAGATAGATAGATAGATAGATCATAGATAGATAGATAGATAGATAGATAGATAGATCATAGATAGATAGATAGATAGATAGGATCATAGATAGATAGATAGATAGATAGATAGATAGATAGATAGATAGATGATAGACAGATAATAGGTAGATAAATAGATGATAGATGGAGGATAGATGATAGAGGTAGATACATAGATGATAGATGATAGATAGGTAGATAGATAGATGATAGATAATAAGATAGACAGATAGATAGAAGATAGATAGATGATAGATGATAGATAGATAGATAGATAG